TTTTTTTTTCTGCAGTTTTAGACAATTCCGGACTAATCTGGTTTTCACTTGGTTACTTTTTTTACATTTGCTGACATTTTCAGTGCTATATATTGCTGCCAATCTGAAGTGAAACAAAACTGTAATTTGTAATGTTAGATCAATTTCGTTTCTCTCCACTGTGTGGCAGGCTACATGATACCAATCAAAATTTAAAGAAGTCAACTGGCGACTTCAAGCGAAATCACTAACTGCAGTTTGACGTATTAGACTTTCTGCTTTCGCTTCTTCCGATGTTACTAATACCAATGCTGATAATAAATTTTAAGGCTTTACTGCTTTACCTAAGTTAATGGGAAAAGGGTGCAGAAGCAAAGGAAACAACAACGTTCCATAGAGAAACGGAAAAAATAAACAATATTGATATTTAAATGCTTTTGAGGTCTATTTCTAACTGTCGGTCAAAAACTAAGACGGATAAAAAAACAGAAAAAAAACTGGATGAAGATTTTTTTTTTTTCAGCAAATTGTAATGGACAGTTTATCGAGTAATGTTGTTAGACATTGTATAGTTCAAATTAATTACACCCTATCGTAGTTCAGTCTTAATTCCAAGTATTTTACTTCAATTTGTGCTCAGTTTTTACGTTGTCTGTTTTTTTCTACAGTAATTTTAGAACAAAACTTATTATTCGCCCAACTGATTGAATCAGTCGAGTAAATAAATCAACTTTTTCAAAACTTGTATTTATCGCTCTTTTAAGGTCAGATAAATTAAACTTGTAAATTACTTGTCAATTTATGGCGACTAATGTATATGAAATTAACAGAAATTTCAAAGTCACAAATAATAAGCCGTATCTAGAGATTGTCTTTTACTGGTCGTTAATTGTAACAGCTGCTTAAGAAAAAGTCTATCGTTTTTCTGTTATCGTGATAATCGTGATCGGTAACGTTAATGCTTGCAATTGATAAGCATTTGTATTAGAATAAAAAAGAATGGAGAAAAAGACTAACAAAGTAGATAAGATTGTTTATCTGTTGTATAAAGCATTTTATTTGATAAACATTAGCCGGGATTTAGCTTCTTTGTAAATGGCGATAAAAATAAGAGGACGAAAACATGGAAAACAGTAGAGGAAGAAATTTGTATTAATGTTTTTTTTTTCTACAAAATCAGTTTTCTTTTTTATGGTGTAATTTTTTGTTCTCAATCGGTTTCTCCGCCCAAACAGCGGCTTCAATTTAGTATTTCTGCATAATAATCTTGTTTTGTTGGATGTAAAGAAACCCGATTCTCATCTGCTATTTATAAAGTCAAAACTTTATGTCCTATGGGTCTTAAAAGTCTCTGGTTCTCCTTCTTCTTTCTGGTATCACTTTTTTTTGTCTCATGCAATTTCCCTACTTTTTTATTTGTATGTTTTAGATGTGTAACAGTTTCTATGTGCGTTTTTGTGTATTTTTGTATTTGTGCTTTCTTTCTACTGTTTCTGCTGCTTTTTATGGTTCGCTTAGCAACTTTACAAACAGTTATCAAGCATTCTTATGCTTATTCCAAAAAAGTCGTCGTATTATTAAAATCATCAGCTTTACCTCAGAAACGGCTGAATAGTT